GGGGGGGGGGTTTAATAAATATTTAACACAAGTTATAGACAAAACTGAAAAGAAAGGGGGTTAAAAATCTTTTTAAATTTTTCAATGTATACTGCGATTCTGGTCACTCAATGTTGAACAATAATGTAGATTTTATAAGTTATTTTTTAATTAGCAAATAATACTATACATATTTCAAAAAACATGCTATTATACTGGTAAGTAGGCAACAAATAATTCTATAAAACCAACATACAGTATTATACACTGTTTGATTATGATAGATTATAGGAATTTGTATATGTGCGTATTTGTGAACAAAAAAGAAAATTGTAAAAAAGAAAACGTCCAGGAAGGAGTTATGCCAAATAAAATTTAGAAATTTTGAGTTTGTGCTATAGCGTATAGCGTATTTAAGAAATAAATAACAAGTTTAAAAACTTCACTGGGAAATGAAGTGGGTCGGTACGTGATCAAATCTTCTGAGAAGGACTTCGGCCTTCACAGGATTTGATCACGTGACCGACCCACTTCATTTCCCAGAGAAGTTTTTAAACTTGTTATTTATTTCTTAAATAATGTATCATTTTTAAACATCTATTAGGATATAAATACGGGTTGGTCACGAGATCAAATTCCATAAAGCCCGAAGGGCTTTATGATAAATTTGATCTCGTACCAACCCGTATTTATATCCTAATAGATGTTTAAAAATGATACATTACTACTTATATTTACATTTATGACATTCATATTTTATATTTTCCTGATTATAATCTTTTAAGCGTGAAATGTTTTATTTTTCAAACTAAACGGCATGTATTTGATCCATTGATTGCGCGTCGACGCTTTATGACGTCATTGAGATATTACGTCGAACGTTTATGACGCGAGAAACCCGTGTTTATCCGGATATAAATACACATTGTTTTCAATAGTGTTATATAAAGGAAAGCATTTGCAAATGTAAATATTAGATATGGAATGGAATTTAAATCAGATCAAATAACTGTTATAAAAAGTCCATAAAGCAAGTGTTATATCCTGAAACATATATAACGAAGAATGAAGGCACAAAATATAATTTAATGTCAAGTTTTTTACTGACAATGGGGGATACATTTGCGTCTTGAGATAAAATTCCATTCAGATTTAACATGTAATACAATATTCGTTACTAATGAAGTTGTTTTGCTAAAATTAATTATGACAGCTTTCTAAAACATAATGCATACACGCAAGAAATTTTGCTATAAAAGGCCAATTTCACACGATTATAATTGAAAACCTTATTTACTACCTTTAGCTGATTTTATTTTAACTTGGCGTATCATATATGCGTCTTATTAACATGACAGTTTCTTTTAATGCTTCATATTTATTTTTCTGATAAAATAATTTGAAATAGGTTAAAACTGGAGGTAATGTGAGCACTGAGCTAAAACAAACGATACATTTCCCAGCTCCATCATGATTATAATGGCAAGAAAAGTCCATCCTTTGCTATGCCCAAACAGAACATTGAATAGTAGGTGTACATTGGGATATTTTATTAAGTTATATAGGAGGAGATGCCCCCCTCCCCCCCCCCCCCCCCCCGTATTATAGACCAAATGTCCGTAATACAAAAGTTACTGACTGAATATTTTTATTGTGTTAAAAGTCTCATTTTTAAAGGATTGGGGTAATGAAGTTAATGTATTAAGATAAATTGATGACAACTTTATATATTATAATTATTTTCTTAGATAAAATGCCTGTTTTTTTTAATTTCATTCAAATCCTGAATATGTGAGTAATAATCACAAACACATCTTTCAATGATTTATATTTATCCGACTTCGCAGGCTCTTACAAAATGAACCAATCACTGAGGATTGAGAAACGTCATGTTTATGCCTGAGTTGAGACCATGGTTGAAGCACCAAACTCCACTGAATTTTATAAAACTTTTCCCACAATAATTGTCGATTTCCATCACAACATTATCCAATATGTTTTTCAACAATTTTCTTGCATAGTACAGTTGATGAACAATTCGTACTTGTACTGTGAAGTCGTTAATCTTTGATAGGTAAAAATTCTAAGTCGGAATATCTGTAGATTATTTTAATTTTTTACAATAACTATCTCCATAAACATTAACTTAAGAATGTTTAATATAAAATTGATAAACCTGACGTCTGGAATGCATCTTTTCAAACCAAAGTATATGAGGTTTATATATGATATAATTAAAAAAGAAAATACGAAGGCGTTGAGTTTCTTTCTCTACAATATAAAATTATGTTCTCGATAGTAACACTGAGAACTTCAACCCTTTTCGTTGAAAATAGAAAACATCTCTCTCTCTCTCTCTCTCTCTCTCTCTCTCTCTCTCTCTCTTGCCTGTATGTGACTGTGTCTGTATGTTTACGGGTGACCGAAAAGTTACTTGAAGCAGTTTTTATACAAGTGGCGATATTTTAAAGCGACAAATGATAATCGTTTTCAGCATTACTTGCTTTTAATATTTGAACGTTTATCTGTGTCTGTTTTGTTTGTGATGTAAGTAACCCAATGTACTTGTTAATTTCAAAATTCTGATTGAAAATTAAAGTTATTCACTTGTGATGGTTTCTGATTGGATACTGGAAAACAATGAGAAACGCTCTCATCCTATCAACATAATGAAAGGCTTTATATTTAATAGTTCATTCAGCAACCCAATATTATTTAGTATAAGAGAAATCAGTTAAAATTTTGTAGATTATTATATCCCTCTTTTTTAATTCATTCATTGATAAATGATAAGAAAAGTTAAAATGTTTATATCAATAACTTTTATAAAATATTCTAATACTAAAATTGTGATTGAGCAAGTTGACTCTGTGTGATGATGACCTTGTTGAACCATATCAATAGAGAATAGAGAATATTTCGCAGTATATTCCATTTAATTAACATTGTATCAATTAATTCTATGTCTCTTAAAGTTTAATTTGTCTCAAAATGACATTCTATACTCTGAGTTCTTTACTTTACCGCAGTTCTTTTCGCGAACTTATATTTCATTGTTAAGATACGAGGTTTGATAATTTAAACAAATAAGAAAGGAAGAAAGAAAAAAAGAAATGAAATAAATAAAATACCTATTTGAAGTCAAATAAATGTTGGTAGTATCTCTTTCGCAAGGAAATTTACTACACCCATTTGTTTAGGAGATTTGGTTCTTGTTTGAGAATCGTGAAATCAATGAAATATCACAATGAATAGAAGTCAGATCATATCAAAAATGGAATAGATCTAGTGTATATTTTGACAAAAGTGACACACACAGGCTTGTCACGATGTACAAGAGATGAGAAATCTTTTTAAAATAATTTACCGCCATATACGGAAGTGGTATGAAAAATAATATATTTGTTATTTGTTTCGAGATACAGATGTCTGGACACTGATGTTTCCACTTATAACACTTTACAAAACTTGGAATTGGGATGTATCCGAGTTTGATCGTGCAATGCAAATACTATTTTTTTTCCAAGTATATGTAGCAAACTTAAGAGCTGTTTTATCACTTGAGGACCTGAAATATGTATGTTTGCATGCATAAGTACAATCGTACATATATTTGAAAAAAAATTATTGAATTCAATTTGTTTTTGAACAAATTTAATTCGGATACACTGCATCAGTTTCATATTATATGAGACATGACAACATGCTCAACGAAAAGACTTTATTGCAATACCGATCGATGAATGAGTATCGGTTATAATGGGATATAAATCAATCCCAAACATCCCGTTAAACCTGGAGGATATTGTATTGAAGTTTTTTTTTAATGAAGATACTCAGTGAATCTTGGTCCATTTTAAATGAATATAAGAAAATGTTACATTGTAATAGGTGGGCAGGACTTGAAAATTGCAGAAATGTTGGTTTGAGTCTCAGAGCAAATTGCCAATTGTATAAAGGCAGATTTGATATATTTGATAGGTTGTGAAGATTCAAGGTCAGTAGCAATTGTGACAAACATTTCATCTTATTTAAAAAGGAGACCAAATTCAGATGGTCATTAACTCTTGTGTAAAAAGTGAAGTATACTCGTATAAGTACTCTCAGTACTCTGATTTACTCTTTGACATATTGAATCTTTGGCTGAGGACTGGTGGCTGCTGGATTCAGACTTTGGACATATAAAATCCTAGGTACAGGTATGATTGATGAGAAACTTTAATCCTTGATTTTGGAAATTACTATTTTCAAATATAATTTTGTTGAAATAATTTTGTTCAATCATTAATAAAATATTTACAAGCACCTAACAATCCTTTTTTTAAATCCTGTGTACGAAAATGTACTGGATTAACAATCTCTATTTCATTATCTGATTTAATATGGTTGGAGACAAAGTAAAAATGGATTAATGTTTTATCTGGTTTTTAAATTAGTAGCTTTTGTTTCATCCTCGGCCTACCTTGCGTACAGACTATGTACAGGTACATGAAAACACGACTTTTAATATCTCTGTGGAAAATATTTATGATCCCTGCTTATATTTGCTTTATTTATTTAGAAAAAGTATATATATTTTTTATAATAAGAAGACAAACCTTTTTTTATAGATATGTTCTGAGAAAGAGCAGAATATAGTTCTCCATTACAAGATAATGAGTATAACTACATGTCATATACTGAGATAAGTAATGACATAAAGTTGTTTATACTATTTGTTTAATGTAAGTAAATATCAAAATCATTACAGACATGTTAGGGCTTAACCAACATTGCCTCTAGTTTTTGTTCCTTTTCATCATTGGAGTCGTCTTGAGAGTTTCATTGCTCTTTTTTCAGTCCCAACATACCGGGTATTTACCACTGAACACAGCAGACTGTGCGTTCTTAAGCTATGTGTTGTGACAGTACTGATATGAGTATATGGCATAAAGTTGTTTATACTATTTATTTGATAAGAATAAACTATTAATTTTATTATCAGCATTCTTATCAGGACTGAATACGCATTTTTAAACGATTCAGTGTTTGTATCTTATCATCATCATAGTCTGTTTTAATGCTTCCCATCCTTTCCAGGAATGCCATATCGGGTATCTATTACCAGACACAGCAGACTTTGCATATTCTCCGTTAAGGTTTGAGTTGTAACAACCTGACCCGTACCACCAGGCTCCGCGATATCTTGTAGCACAGTGACCACTAATCCTGTCATTGTCCTGATCTTTAGTGCTGAATTTACTACCACTGTGTGGACTAGTCAAACTGTCACCTGTTAAAGAGTATTGATAACAAAATTTATTCCTATCAATAACACAGAAAGAAAAAAAAACATCATGATCAACAATGATATGCACTGTATATCTAACTAGTAACACTCTCCTAGATATTAGGAAAAATCCCAAGTAATTTTTTAGAAACATACTTCATATACAGTGTATATACAAATCTTTTAAGTTGTGATTCCTTTTCATTTAAAAATATTTCAGAATAAGATTTGTATCAAAATATGTTATGTAAAATTATTTCATGTACAAATGTATAAAATTATACTTCTATATTGAAATAAGTTTATAATTTATTGTCAAATACTAAGTATTTACACTGTATTTAAGGAATCACTGTCGAGTTTGTTGGTTATCCTAAGTCATTACATGTAACGACAGTTTTTCATACTAATTGTTAGGCCATTATTTACACACTGAATTGTCGACGGATTTTTCCGTTATTTCCCGATCATGACAAGGAGCACACGGCGGGTGTGACCGGTCGGCAGGGGATGCTCACTCCTCCATGGCACCTGATCCCACCTCTGATGTTTGGAGGTCCGTGTTTGCTCTGCTCCTATTTTGTATTGTATAATGGACTTTTGAGCTTGAATACTGTTCGTTATCTCCATATATTTCATTGGAAACATGGGATAATTTGCAAAACGGGCGAAACCTGCATGAATTATCCCACGTTTTCAATTGTCGTTAATGTCCTTCGCAAACTCAAAAACCATATATAGAAGTGAGATACACGAGACATTCTATGTTAATTATTATAGTCCCCACCCACTGGCGTCAAACACAAGCACAGTCGGAAATCATCGTCTATAGAGCAAAAAATACAATGCTTTACATCTTTTTTGTTGAATGAAGCCAAATATAAGCACAAATAGAATGTACCATTATTCTGGCAGTTTGTGCCGTTTAAATGCTATTAGTGATGTTTGGATCTAATATTCGGTATTTGATCCAGTTTTCAACAACAATTAAAAAACAAGAGGCCCATGGGCCACAACGTTCACCTGAGTAACGTTTGCCGTCTGTTCTTCACCAGAATACTTACTGTAGCCCCACCCTACCCCTGGGGGGGTTATGGTTTGAACGATTAGGAATCTACTCTACCTCAGATTGATTTCACATAAGTTTCAGCTTTTTTGGTCAAGTGATTCTTAACAAGAAGATTTTTGAAGATTTTTCCTATACATTTCAATGTAAAATTTTGATTTTTTATTGTTGTCCTACCTTACCCCGTGGGGTCATGGTTTGAACAATCTAGAATCCACTCTAAATAGGGAAGCATCAACGTAAGTTTCAGCTTTTCTAGACCAGTGGTTCTAGAGATGAAGATATTTAAGGATTTTTTCTATATATTTCAATCTAAAACTTTGATTTCCTATTGTGGCTCCACCCTACCCCCGGGGGGCATTTTATTGAATAATCACAAATTTATTCTATCCCAGGATGTCTTTTCTTTATTGTATTTCCTTGTAAGGGGACTTGCCCCTTTATTTAAATAATTATAATTCCCGTTCCCCAATGGATACTTTTTACCAACTTTGGCTAAAATTGTCCCAGTGGTTCTTGAGAAAAAGGGGAAAATATGAAAAGTTTACAGACGGACTGCCGACGGACAACAGGTGATCAGAAAAGCTCACTTGAGCTTTCAGTTCAGGTGAGCTAAAATGGTTTGTGTGTAGAAGAAAACTGCTGATAAGTTCATGTATTCGTTGTTTACAACATAAGTGGTATTTTCATGTGCATTGGATGATGAAGGCTGTGTGTATTGGGTATTGTATAAGAGGACAACATTAAAAAATAATGGGAAATGATATCATACATTGTCTGGAAAAATGTAATTATCTTGGTATTCTACTCAGTAAAAAGTGCAAAATTTCAGACAGGATAACCTCTGCATGCCAAAAAGGGAGTAAGAGTATTTCGCACTTAATATGATAAACCCATTAACACTCTCGCATCTATACAAATCATTTGTCTAACCTTCGGTGCTTTGTGGCTAAAAATTATGGAAAAACAAGTCCGCAAGTGATTCCACCGATTGAATGTTTTCCAACATTTAGTGGTCAAAAATGCCGAACATCTCCATTTTAAGAACAAGATCTGTCATCTGTGAAAACCTTTTTAAAATTCTTCCAGTACAAGCTGAGATTGCTACAAGGAAGCAGCTATTTCTTTGTCAAATCTTCTAAAAAAATGTTTGTCATACTTTGAGGGAATCACTCATTAACAGCTAGGTATTATTCTGGATATTTTCATCTCTTTTGCATTTATAACTATTGTGAATATGTGAGAGAATGGCTTTTGATGGGTTTATTTCTATCAAAATCAGCTTGGAAATGAACTGTAATATCTGCAACTTTTCAACAAAATAAGCTACAGAAAGAGATACTCTTAGTTCAGGTGATCTAGGATTCGATGGTTTATGTAACATATTTCAGCATGATAACCCGATGTTGTTCTTGCAACTACCTTCTAACAAATTGGTCTCGGAAACTCCCAGAGACGATACTGAATTTTTTCCCTCTGACGTGCTATACTACAGTATATGTTGATCTCTTTAAACATGCCGTGTCATATTTGTCTTACATAATCGATGGTGGGAGGAATTTACCAAATATTCTATTCGCCTGTGTGCCGAACTGAATGTACCCTACACAATGAGGAACTGTACCTGATTTTGCTAGGCCGTAAGCCGAACACCATTCTTTCCATTCACGGAACATACAGCTCCGTAACTTTCGTCTTATTCGCAGTGTCTGGGTTTACGTTAAGCATGATAGTGCAATCTTGTGAGTGGCGGATGCTTCCAAAGCCTTTTTCCTTTCAGACTCCCATTATTTATTTTAATAAATTTTCGTGATAACACCTAGATATAAATATTTAACTTTAAACATTGATCCTCAGTTAGTGGTTTCAATCTTTGTAAGTATATCATATTCTATATATGTATCCATACTTTTCACTTTTGTGTGTACATGTATATGTGTTATTACTTGGGAAATAAAGTATAAATGAATGAACACGAAAATGCAGTAATAAATAGATCGACTTTTGCACACAGGAGCAGATTTGCTCATGAGTGAATATAATAATAAGTATATAGAGTAATAGACAATTAAATAGTTCTTATCCTCTGGTATTAAGAACATTATGCTTATATTTGTCAAAAGATATTTATTTGTTATTAATACTTCTTATCAGTTTAAAAATTCACACTTAAATGTATATTATTTGTTTACGTTTCTGTTACTGTTACGCCACATTTGCAATCACCATAGCATTACGTAACAATGCGTCGCCCGCGTGGCGCAGTGGTCAGAGCGTTTGCTTTAGAGTCGCAGTGTAAGGAGTTGATCCTTACATTGCGGGTTCGAATTCCACTGCGGGACGTAGAGGCCGGTCCGTCGGATTAGACCGTATAAACCGAGGTCCCATGTCGCAGTAGGTGCTGGCACGGAAAAGATCCCTCACTGCTCAATGGTCCAGAGTGCCAAGTATAGGTTAAAATTTGCAGCCCTCCACCGGCAAATTGTGGCGTCTCCGAATGAGTGAAAAATTCTCGAGAGGGACGTTAAACAACAAACAAACAAACAAAAAATGGAACAATGCTGGGTATGTAAAATTATATATATTTAAAATAAACCCTACCTGCCGTTCCTGAATATCCCGACACAGTGAGTTTGTATTTTTTGTTCTCGTCCCCGACATAAAATGTGGAGTACTGAGCGTATGCTTCGTCACCATTAAATCTTTGAAGGGAAACCCGTAGTTCCTGGTCCTTGTTCTTCGTCAACTCATAGATTGCGTCATTTCCTTTTAAAGAAATATCTTAACTCTTATATTGTTTTATTGCAATAACTTGCTCATGTAATGTAAATTTGAAAAGCATGTTTGAAAAAAAGGTCTTCGTCATTAAGAAATTTCATTTTTAAAGTCGTCAAATTTTAAAACTAGTTGATACTTGGAGCACTTCTTAAGTACAGTACTTATTACAGGTACCACAGGAAAAAATTATATTCTTTTGTACATGTCTGTTTTAAACTATTTTTACGTTTGTATGTGAAACAAGAAAACTTTACGTTGTACACAAATTCATAATCTTCTGTTAACAGAAATACTTTCACTAGAAAAAAGTTTCTAAATTCTGCTCTAATCGAGATATAGAATAAATCTCTTTTGCTTTCAAAAAAGTGAAATCTTTAATTTTTTGAGTTAATTTACATTGTTTTCCTGATTTGAAGACACCCAATAAACTCGTATTTTTCAAATGATAGAGAAAGGTTTTAAATGAGTGCACTGGTATTGAGCAATACTGTGAAATGTAGGGGGAGAGTATTTTTGAAAACCTCATGACAGCATGTTCTTGACGTTACAATGTTGTTGAAATGAAATTTCACATATCAACAAAATAAATATTTTTACATTTGATAATGTGCTCATTTTCAATTTCTTGAAGATAGTATTACGTAAATTGGCATAGTCTGCAAACTTTCCGAACAACCTTCATATATATAATCTTCCTAACGCTTTTTATGTTTTGAGGGGAATACATACTTTTATAGTGAAATATCTTTAATTCTGTCCCAAGAAAGAAAAGGTTTCATGCATGTAATTTCGATTTCAAAAAAATAAAGCGGCGGTTTTTTTTCCATTTTTGAGTACAAATAAATTACATGCGCGGATCTATGATTATTTTTACCAGACCAGAGAGTGTTTATGGGGTGTTCATTCACTCCATTCGATTAAATATATTCAAAATATTTGACAGGTCAAAACCTATCAAGCTTAAACAGTCTGTATAGTCATTTCTGAACTTTAAAAATCCAATGAGGTCCGCCCCCACCCACCCCCATCCCCTTTCCCCCTTTGATTCGCTTTATGAATAGGTGAACCTAGTGGTTTATAGATTGAATATAACGTTCATATTTGTTGAAAGACTTTGTTAAGAGTGTCCCTGAACAGTATGTCAACGGCAAAATGGGTAAAAAATTAATCCCAGTTTTATGTCCGTTTAGCAAAACAGATAGAGTATATATTATTTACGTGAGCTAGGAAGATTTTGGTTGTCTTTAACGTACGTCGCGAGTTTGCTGTTTAAAAATTTAAAAAGATGAAATTTATACAATTTGGAGTCTTTTAAGACTCTTCTTTTTATATAAATAAAAATAATGGAAATAAAAAGATTATTTATCCGCGTAACATATAAACGTATATGAATAAGTTTAATAGGGAAATTCTAGAGGTATACTTTCATTCTAATGCTAAATATTTTGTTCTATTATGATATAGGTAATATAAGTTTAGTTCAAGTTTTATTTTCATTGCTACACTATACTTTTCTGAGTTTGAAAAAAGCTAACATGAAGAGACATTTGTTTTTGACATGAACTCAATTCAAATCTACTGTGTATTAAATGATCAAATAGGCAGATTCATTATCCCCATACCAAAAATTATTGACATTTTAAAAATTCTATAAAAAAAAAAAATGGGGGGGGGGGGTGGGGTTCTGAGAATCCCCATCTGATTTCTACAACTACTATAATATACTGTAGCACAATGCAACTTTCCATCTTTTTGGTCCAGTGGTTCTTGAGATCTATAAAACTTTTTTTTTATCAAATGATTAACTTTGATTCCCTATAATGTCCCACCTCCATGGGGCCATGATTTAAACAATTCAGAATCTTTACTACCTCATAAAGTTTTCATAAAAATTTCACCTTTTCTAGCCCAATGGTTTAAAAGCGTTTAAAAGATGAAATACTACAATTTACTGTAGTAACTAAATTTATTATTGGATCCAATTCATTTTTTTTTTACTTTAGTTATTACTATAAACCTTTCAAATTGATACTTTGATTAACTGTAGAAAAAAAACCCTTTGATTTACTATTATGAATATCTATGAAAAATACTTTTATTTCCTTTTTTCTTTTTAAATCTCATTTAGCATACATATGGTTCTTCGACTTTTTCCTTGATAAATATAATAGACTATGGTCTATCATAGTAAACTTCATCACTATAGTACTTGTTATCAATAGGTTAGTCTTGAAATAGTGTCAAAGTAATAGTAAGATTAATACTATAGATAACTGATTCATCAAGAATAAATCATTTCTCTTAGGTAAACCCTTTCATACTTTGATTTACACCGGTGAATACTTTACTTTACTTCGTTAAAAACTGTGATACTTGAACTGATTTATTATACGTATTTCACTATCCACCCTAAACTAGACGTTACTGTCTTTTTGCGTTATCATTTCTTTTATCATTATTTTTTTTTAATTTTAAACTTTTTTAAAATTTATTTAATTGTTTTTTGTTTTGTTTTTTTTTTTTTTTTTTTTTTGCTTGGGATAACGGATCAAAATACGCAATCATATAAAATTAATAGCCATGTATTTTTACATTTGTTAGGTTTTATTCGTGGAGATATCAGAGCCTTTCAAGTTTTCTATAAAAAATTCCAAAATACAGATAATTAGCTATATGGTAGCTGTTGAGAATAATTGTTAAATAGAATAATCCCGATTATAATGTCCATACTTATCAAAAACTAAAACTTTTTGATTTTATACATTTAAAGAGACACCTTCTAAATTATAAAACTAATCTTACCAATCCAGTAGTTTTTAGAGGGATTCCCAAATCCTTGTTTATATTCTGACCAAGCCCTGTAAAAATCTGTAGATCCGTCCTGTCTTCTTTGTATCGCCTGAAACATTTAAGAAGGCTGTCTCTTTGATTTAACATGAAGTAGGTTTCAGTGAAAAACCTGTGCATGCGTTCAAAAATGCAGGCCTCTTTAAAGTTCTATTGAAATTAGTTTTTGTCAACAAAGAACAGGTTACTGTTACATGTAACTTACCGTCCAACCCCCTCCCTTTGTTGTCATGTCACAGTAAACTTTCTTCTTTTGTTTTCCATCCGGATAAATTGTATATACACCATCCTTTCTTTTCCGACCTGGATTTTTCTTCAGTATGGTTGCACAGTCTTTGTACTTTTTAACTGAAATTAATAAAGCAGTCCAGTTTACGGTATGTTACATGTATATTTAATTGAAATAATAAAAAAAAACTGTTTGAAAATAGGATGAGAATATAACTGAATTTTTGGTAAAGTAAAAAATTATTAAGAAACAGAAGATGTCCTGCAAGAACAAATGATACATGTAACATTTTTCCAAAAGGAATTTTTAGGCATGATAAATAACATAAAATAGTATTCTGCAACACTAAGTGTTAGTATTAAAACACGTACAGTAAGAAGACTAATTACTCATTACTTTAAAAACAAAAAGTACCTTTTATAAATGCATCCTTTGATATTTTCGTTACATTATATGTAGAGACAACATCCACTTTGAAGGAAACAGAATGCACGGTCTTAACATGGGATCTAGTCGGTTTCCAAAACCATCGAGAACTTTTTAGATGTTGATAAAGTTTTGCTGAAATTTTTGAAAATAATAATAATAATAATAGGTTAATCTTTGAAAATAGTATCTGAGTTATATTTATTAGGAATAATGAAATAAAGCAGGATTTGAATGTTTGTATTTTAATTTGACTTAAATATTTCAATCATTTTTTTAGTAACATTACATAAGAAACTCATCAGCTTACTTAAATGCCCATATTAGACATACCCTTTCACACCATTTTTCATACACGCTACAGAGAATATACATCCCGTATCTCAACATTCAATTTTTAACAGAAAGATAAAAGATGCTTATTTTATAAAGTAATGCATGAAATAGCGCTGTATTAAAAATATTTTTTCCCAAAAAAAGTATTTTCTCATTAACACAGTTGTTAAAGGTTTTAAGCAGAAAACATAGAAAAGTGTTAAATATGCTAATATCCTTCCGTACAAAAATTACATCGTGTGCTAATCTAGAATTTATGTAGGATCTTAATTGTTTTCATGTCTTTTTCTTTGTAAAAATTAAGCAGAAATATACATTTTATCATGACTGACCAGATGCATTAAGCATAGTGGTCTTTTCGATAAGCATACCCCCATTTAGGTGATATATTTTTAACAACTCCTTTTGCAAACCTTTAAAAACCTGAAATGGATTAAGCAAAGCAAACCTAATATTCAGAAGAACAAGAAGCAAATATGTTCTGACATGTTTGTTTTAACTCAAATGGGACAAAGGGGGAAGATATTCAGCCCTCTTTCTTTTCGCAATGTTATAATGTTAATGTTTAGTTTTCATCTCATTAACAAAAATTTTATTTTTAAAAATGTGGTTTGTAACAATCCTTAACCTCTTTTATAATTTCAGAAATATACTTATCCACACGTCAACTTCAATATTACATCTTGTCAAGCTATCCCGACATGTAAACACTTTGACTTTTACGGACAAAAATACTTTCAGAATATCAATCAAGTGATCAGTTACACGATATTTAAAATGATTTACTGTATTGGTACATACATTAACCTAGTTTTATGGCACAGAAAGCAATCACATTCAAGATATGAATTAAGACTATATAAAAGAAACACCACACGATTTTAACCTTGCGAAGTTTTAAAAGATGTGTTACTTTTGCCAAACGTTCCTTTTATCGGAGCATTTTCATATTGTTATAGTTTTAACACAAGCTAAACTTTTGTACTCGATTTTTAAATTAAAAATGAATGCGTAAATTTCTGGCCCTACCTCATATAATCTTATAAAGATGTCGTTAACAAAAGAAAAATATTGTAGAATTGTAGAATAAATACCTTTGTAAGACGGAGGAACCGTGTCGCCATTCGAGTAAACCGATATGAGGACAACAAACAAGCTTATCTGGATTACAGACTTCATACTGTTCTATATGCAGTACAACCATGAATTTACTTTTATATAGTAAGTTACCAATGCAATCTAATCATTATTGTGAAAGGTGATACCCTTTTCATGCAAGAAAAATTGATTCTTGGACATAGTCATACACTCCAAAATTATGTATTTTAGAATATATATTTTTACTTATGAATTTTAAAGTCTCCTGGATAATTTTATTTTTCCTTTCAATTAAAGCTTGTTGTTAACTAAGGCACCCCTTAAGGACCATGTCGTTCACAAAATCATAATTTATTTATTTTTTCCCCACAAAATATATAAATGTATTTGCATATAGTATTAAAAGTTAAAAGAGAGAGAGAGAGAGAGAGAGAGATGTATTAGAAAACATATTTAGAAGTTAATTCCACAAATTGAATTGTAGCATGTATCATTACATTGAGGAGTGAGCGTAGCATAACATGTTGCAATTGTATTGTTAGGCAAAGCTTGATCAGCATGACAGCATGATCTTCGGCATGGATAGATATCCATATATATATATTTGTCTGCTTGAAAATCGATAAACATATTTAAAACATGTCCAAAAATAAAGTACTAATTTGTACATTTTAGCTACCAATTAGGAACAAAATAATCAAATTCAGAGTAAACTACATAGCAAAATATTCGATAGTTAGCTAGACAGTGCCCAGAAAACATTTGCGTAAAATCATTTTGTTATCTTAATTCCAACTCATTTGCGTCAATTTCTACTCTTTTAGCATAGGCATTAAATCTAAGCATAATTGGTTTCATTGTTAGAATTGTCCTAACTTCTGAATATCATGTCAGACTCAATGTAAACTTTAAGAAGACGGGGAACAAGGCGTGATTCAATTTATGAACCAAGTGTAAAGAGCAAAATTCTTATTAAGGAAATGTTTTTATTTTTATTTTTTTTTTTTTTTTTTGTTCCTGCAAAAACCAATTAATACACACCCATCATATATCATACATCAGTCTTAACTTTGTATGAGAATGCTTAAATGCATAAATTGTCATTAAAGAAACAAGTACCTAGAAAAATGGAGACACCAAATGATGATATTCCTTGTAACCAGGAACAATTAAAAAAACTGATAACTGAGTCTGAGTCCGATGAAGAAGATGAATTTGATTATGATCTGGACCTAACAAATTTGGATTTACCTTCTACAAAAAAACAATTCTCAACCCGAAAAGGCACTGGCAGACATTGTGTCAGAAGCAGTCAAGAAGTGTGAGACAATTAAATAAGAGACACAATATTGCATGTGCGCGTGAAGGCATTTCCTACGCAATTGTGTCAGGCAGATTACCACCATACATGAAATGGCAAATACATTGTCGTCCAAACTTGGGGGATCCAAATATTAATAAAGAATTTCAGGAACTCTGGAAGACCGAAACACGGTTTCTGAAAGATAAAGTGCTAAAATCAACAGTTGACTTCCTGGACGACAAGATTATTCAATCCAATCACCATCTTAAAGATATCCGGGTAGAAACAATAAATTCGATTGGTAAATCTACCTCTGCTGCTGGTCTTGCTAAGACACAATTGAATGACAAAACAAGAGAACTTAAAGAGAAATTTGATCGCTACCTAATGGAGTTCAAAATGAATATTAGTTCTGTAAGAAAACCAACTGAACGGTTTCCTAAGAGACAACCAAAGGACACCAGAGAAAAACACGGGAAACAAGTGCAAAGAGAACAAAAATTCCGTCCATATTAAAACAATATGATGTACTCTGTTTGAAATTGACTTCATTCTATACTGAAACTCAGTTAAGATTCCATTTATCTTATTTGTGCAAATCTATGAATCATATCTTTTGTTTTTGGGATTAGTAAAACGGATTACTATGAAAGGTATCTATTTCATTATCCTTCCACATGTCAAAATAATCTCTTGGCTGCTTTAATCTGATTGCAGCGAAATCGTCCATAACTCCTCCCACATTTTGAGGAATATATCTGTTGTCATTATTTCACTCATTCACTTGCAGAATGGCTCGTCGTTTCAATCGAAACGCCAAATCTAAATGTAAGAAAAACAGACCAATGAATTTTAAGGAGGCTGGGGGGTCAACAAATTGACCACAAATTAACCACCAGATTTAACTTAATTTTTTAGATATGATATCTTAAGCTGTCAACTATCATTTGGCAAAGAAAAATTTCAAAAATTTTAGTTTTAAAATTTGATCATTTTCTATATCTTCATATGGAGCTCTTCTTCTAAAGGAGATCAATATAGTCTAAAAATGGCCACAACCCCCCAGCCTCTTTAAAGTTCGAAAAATTAGAGAACACAAGAATAAAGTGCTAATAGCACGAGATCATGTGTTTAATCTCACACCCGACAGATTGTCAGATGATGAGTATTTACTTTTGGCAAAAGGTCTAAAATTTGTACCTTCATCTATCTCACACCAAGTCAAACAACAAGTGATGAGAGATTTTAATGAATTTGCCAGAAAATTAAAATGTAAATACATGTTTCATGACCCAGATAATGACAACAATATACATCCTTTCCGCATGAAAAGCGGTTTTGAACCTCAAATTATGAACAATTCAGTTCAAACATATATTGACAAAACAAGACTTGAATTGTCATCTATGGAAGTTCGCAAATCGACTGACAATTTAAGCATTTCTGAACGCTAAGCATTAAAAAAGGCTAAAAGGTCGTAAAGACTTCATTATCAAAAAAGCTGACAAAAAGAACATGTGCGTTGTAATTAAAAAAAAAACTGATTACATCCTTGAAGGTGAACGTAAGTTAAATAGCAAATACTACTGCAAAATTACTAATCCCAATCTAAATCATCTCGAAAATATTATCACACAAAAATTGTCTGAGATGAACACTAAGGGTGTACTTGACAATATTACCTAAAACTTTCCACGGAAAGCTAAAAATACGAGGGTAGGGGGATTATATTTGCTCCCTAAAATACACAAGCTCAATATTGAGACTTTTAATGAGATTAAAAACACTGGTAGCTGCAGTTCACCAATTATTCCACCAGGTCGACCTATTATCTCACAAATAGGTTCACCTACAGAACGCATAAGCCAGTATGTAGATTACTTTTTTACTCCCATTGTGCAAACACTAAGCACGTATATCAGGGACAGTTCAGACTTCATTCTAAAAGTTGAACAACTTAGACCACACGCTAAGTGCCTACTGGTCAGTTATGATGTAACTTCGCTCTACACCAATATGCATTTCGAGGAGCTAATTGCGGCTGTTCAAATGGCCTATACAAACTTCAACAAAGCAGAATATATCATACCAGCTTCACCTACAACTGATCTTTGTTTTCTTCTACGACTTGTAATAGAAAACAATATATTTGAATTCAACTCAGCTTTATATAAACAAACAATAGGATGTGCGATGGGTTCTAAATGTTCCCCATCTGTGTGCGACATACGCCTACGCCAAATTACTGATGAAATCATCGATAAATTTACAGGGAAAAATTAAATAATATATCGCGACGACGGATTTATCATTTTTCATGGATTAGAAACTTACATCCATGAGCTATTTGAAATAGCTAATTCACACCATCCTCTGCTCAAATTCACATATGAAATTT